ATCGTTAAAGAGCAAGTATATTGATTGTAGAGTGATCGTTAATAAGCATCTTCAAAGTTACTTTCACTAAAATTGAGTTCCATGGAAAAGTTAAAACCTTTTCTAGCGATATATCTATGAAAATTTTTTATCTGAAATGTATTATCATCTTTCCAATATTTCGTATTTATAATATAAACACTAATTTTAGTTTAGAAGATTACTTGATCATTTAGTCACTCTTACTTTTATCTGTATGTCTATTTTAATATATTTATTATTTGTAATATTATAGTTATGTAGTTTTTGAAATGAAAAAGTAAATATAATTCAAAGAAACATAGTAGAGTCAATTAATTTACTATTTTATTCGCTTACATTTGATCTATAATCGATTAAATGTAAGCGTTATTCTATGATTCTTAAGTTTTAATAATTACACATAATGGAAAATAGCCATCAGTCTGTAATAAAGTGCTAAAAGTCACAAGTCCAAAATGCTCTACTATTTGCTTAAAAAATGTTTGAGTCAGAGTAGAATTTTAATTGTCTTCATCAGATGATCGACATTAAAATACATGAAATATTAATTGATTGGTTTAAATGTGTTAATTAGTACATCAATCACCAAATGGCGTTATAGGTTTAACAATTCTCACATGCGAAGAATATAAAAAACAATACAAAAAACATGAATAAAATTTAAAATTAAAAATTAAAAATAAAAGAAAAAAAAGTGCATACATATAAAGTAGTTTAAATGTAACAGAGTATGTGTCTGTGAATAGGAGGAACTAAAGGAAACATGTCATATATTTAGGATGGTTATACAGTCTAAAAAAGCTTGTACAATATTAAATGGTAAGTTTGCATAGCAGCAGTAAACTTTTGCTAAAAAAATAAAAAAGAATTATTATTTTCTCTTAATTAATTCTATAAATTATAATAATGATTACATCTTGCTCATTTACAATGAATGTATAATGAAACAATTTTTCACAAATTTTTATTGTGAGTTTTTTTGTCTATTTTTTTTAAGGCATTTATTTAAACATAAAGATGATGAACCACCACCATACTATCGATTCAAAGAAGAATCACAATATACAGATTTACAAGTATGAAAAGAATGTTTTAGTGCACAAGATTGATTAAGTTTAACTGTTGTATATTTAGTTTAAAGAAAAACCAGGAAAAGCACCAATACGTGCAATAATATTGGCAATTATGCTATTTATTTTGGGATCAATTATGATATCAATTGGTGCTTTAATGTTAACAGGTTATATTAGAACACAGGTATCGTAGAATTAATTTACATAGATAAATTTGAAACATTTTTACTTTTTATCTTTTTCTAATTTTTAGTATCGTGATCGTACATGGCCATTAATATTAGTTGGTACAATAGTATTTTTACCCGGATTTTATCATGTTCGAATAGCCTATTATGCCTGGAAAGGATATAAAGGGTTTACATTTGATGATATACCCGATTTGGATTGGTATTGAGATGTTTTATTTTATTTTTTATTATTGTGTACAATTTCTATTTGTTGTTTTGTTCTTTTTATTTATATTTGTATATTTGTTTTAAAAAAAAAAGTTAAAAACAAAATAAATTTAAAGGTGCTTTATATTTTTATTTTTTCACTTTGCACATACTGTATATCTGCAATTAGTCAAAGTCATGAAAGATATACATAACTGATACTCGAAGAATGTTTTTAACTTGATTGATCAAAAAAAACTTGCATCTTTTTAAATTATTTGTTTTTTTATTTTTTTTTGAATATTTTTTTTTAAAGAAAAGTTAGATACTATTCTGTTTTTGAAAATGACTAGATTTTAATTCTGTGATATAATAATAATAAAAAAACGCATATATAATTTTGTTTTCTTTTAAGTCAAACTCTATTAGTTTGTCGTTGTTCTGTTAATCTAATTTTTTTATGTGCTTGATATAGACTCGGTGGCAATGATGTACATAATTTTAGACATAAATTTTTCAAATAATTTTTCGTATTAAATGGATTATGTTCACATTGTCCATTTTGATCATCGATACTTAAATAAATTCCTTTGTCATCTTCACGAGTTGTTAGCTCTTTCATTATAATCATAAAATGATACGATAATAGATTTGTCGTGTATATGAAAGCAGGAACAGTAATCAGAATGACAAAATAAGAAGGAATTGAAGGAAAAATTGATTCAGAACCTCCACGATCGTGAACATACCAGAGGGTTTTCATCAACGATGTGGAAAAGAGATATAGTTCAGTGTATAATAAAAAAAATAGAAGTAAAAAGAAGAAACGATAATTACGTAAACCCACGCATGTTCCTAGTAATAGAATAAGTATCACATAATTTACAATTTGGTTCTCATTAATCAGAACTCACCTAGAAATGGACAATGATGATCTAGTAGATAAACACAATTTGAACAAATTGAACAATGACTTGATCTTGGTGGTCTGAATAGTTTACATGTCACACAATATTTACATTTCAATATACAATCTTTCACTGGTATATTTATTTGCATAGTACCAGCTGATTGTGTTTTCAATTCTGGATGACGTTTACACAAATCAATATATTCTTCAACATTTGTACGTGGAATAATTCCGGGATCCATACACATGGATCGAAATAAAAACAGATACGTATAAACGATGGATATTAATCCAATAATAACGATCAAAATACCGATTGAAAATTCTCGTATTATTACTGGTAATTCAAATATAATCCATATGGTACATGTCATTGTAATAATACAAACAACCATAATAACACCACTCAAATTTCTACCAATCATACATTGACCATTAAAACAAAAATGATTATTTCCACTATGTATTTTCCAACGATACACATCCAAACGTTCATAATGACATTTTCTTAACGTTGATGACACTGACTTTGGTTTAGCCATTTTTTAAATTCATTTTTCGTATGCATTTCTCTTTAGTAAACACAAGTCAGGAGGCGCCATAAAGCAGAATAGTCAGTCTATCCCGGCTTTTGTTTGAAAATAGGTTGAGCAAAGAATGCTAAGTAGCATGTGTACAATTACATCGGTATATAATCGTTATAGTAGTTCTGAAAGTTTATGTATATTATTTGATTCCACATCGCAGCAGTTTGATATACAGCTAACGAGGGAACCTTTCGAGATATCCCCTTCCGATTTCAATGATTTGTACATGAATCGATAGACCTCGGTAAGGTAGTTAATACCCTAAAAGGATTCGTACCCATGACTATTGAAAACTTGGTTTTCTGGAAAACCAGTTTTTCAAGAACTCTAAAAAATAACTGAAACCCTTTTTTAATGAAGCGTGATTGTAGCCCGCAAATTTCTGATTAAAACGAGCCATCTCCTAGCTCTGTACGGCCTTTCTTTGCCAAGTTATAGAATTTACAAGAAAAGCCTAAAATAATTTCTTATTTCTGTAGCTCTGAGCCGACAATGAACATTTAGGGCTTTTTTTGTAAATTCTATAACTTGGCAAAAAAAGGCCGTGCAGAGCTCGAAGATGACTCATTTTAATCAGAAATTTGCGGGCTACAATCACGCTTCATTAAAAAAAGGTTTTGGTTATTTTTTTAGAGTTTTTGAAAAACTGGTTTTCCAGAAAACCAAATTTTCAGCAGTCATGGGTATGAATCCTTTTAGGGTATTTACTACCTCACTGAGGTCTATCGATCTATGTACAAATCATTGGAATCGGAAGGGGACATTTCGAAAGGTTCCCTCGTAAGTAAAACTCGTATTGTATTTTGCATTGACTTCATATTAAAAGTGATTCATATATTAAATCATATATTAAAAGTGATTTCTCACACAAAGTTTTTACAGTTTCAACATCGTTCTCTTCATCCATGAGAAGGTATTTTTTGACCTATTACTTTTTGTTTCCAGGTAATTGACATCAAATCAATACAGTAAAACTAATCGAAATGAGAAAAATAATAATCGTTGAAGGGTTCTGTTTATTTGTTCTGCATGGTAGAAGCCGAAAACGGAAGTATTCTTTCTGTTATTGTAAAATAGAAAAACTGTTCGTATTCGTAGTTGAAATAACAACATTCATTATTCTATATATAGACAAAATAGAGTTATAGGTGTAAGTTCTACTTCTTCGCTTTGCAACTATTCGAGCTGATAAAAAAACGAAGTATGGAAGTTTTTATCAACATATCCATTTTAAACAAGCAACTTTATCTACCATTTAAGAATGACTTAAAAAGAGTATTGTTTCAACTATTCTCAATATTTATTTTTCTTGATATATTTATCCATATGACTTTGTAATCAGTTATTTAGTGATCTTGTCATGTATTGCTTTGCTATTCAAAGAAACAAACTTGCAAGTTAAAATGACCTGAACAGCGACCTACATTCTATTCTGTTTTCTAAAATAAAATAGAAAAAAAGAAGAGAAGCAGAAAACAAATAAATGGGATGTTAGTGAGAAGAGAAAGAGATAAGTTATCATCATGCATGTTATAAGAAAGACAAGTCATTGCATCTGAGTGTATTACTTGACTGTCATCGACAATTGACGAAATAAGTGAAAAAATCGCGTGAAGTTATAGGTTGAGAGCAGAAGACAGATTTCATTCTAGTATTTTGAATATTCTTACATAATCTTCTGTTGCTTTTTTATTTAAGATATTAGAACATCTTATATCGATATCACCAGTCAATGGCCCAGGCAGTCGCGTAAGTACTACCTGTTGTTTCTCAGGAACTACTTTCAAATTAATGTTTGCCATAAAAACTCTTTATATTCACTCGTAATTCCTATGCATCCAACAATTTCTTGTCATATTTTGCGAGTGAAACATTGAACAATTATTCCCTCCTTACGTCACTTTCCTCAATTTTAGTATTGAAGTAACGCCTGTTAATAATTTAACATCGGACCTATCGTCGTATGATTCACTAGTAATTGTAGCATCAGATTTAGGACAATTGGAAAAACATGAAAAAAGTTTAGTTACAATATTAAAACCGTTTAGTGAAGTATGATAAAGAAAATGAATTATGCGAAAGGATGTAGTTTTACTAATCCTGTTTTTACTCATTTCAGTTGAACAAAAGTTTTAATAGTGAACTAACATTTACTATTAATGATAGTGTTCCAGGAAAACGTCTGGTGAGTAGTCTTATGATGCCACTTTCTATAGATGTATAGAAATATATGTTTTGACAGATTTATTCACCCACCGGCCCATTAACACGTGATTATGATGATGTTCGAAGATTTGCTGATGCAGCAGCGTGTGGAATTAAAAAGTAAGTAAATGTATTTGAATTAATCTACGAGCGGTTTACTAATTAGAGAATATTTTGGAAGATATTCTATACCTATTTGCTACTTACATCGGTTTTCCACAAACTTGTGGCTCTGTCATTTGTAATCCATTTTTTTCTAGAGCTTTATCAATCGGATCTAAACGTCCGTTATTAGCGTGTTTTTGTTCTCCAATGTTTCCAAAAGCAAAATTAGTCTCATTATTGGCTGCATTAGAAACAACTTATGTGGTAGGTGTTTAAATCTTGTTCGCTTCTCTTTTTTCCTCTATCACTTGTTTTATAGCCGTTACAAATCCGTGAAGATATTAGTGAGCGTAAACAAAAAATTGAACGTTTGGGTTTTTGGTGTTGTGAAAGTGGTGATGAAGCAAAAACTGTTAAGTATGTGAATGGTATTGAGTTAGGTCGATGTGTAGCCAGAGATATTGGCGGTGGTGATCCAGAGCGAATGGCACCACCTCTATTGGCTGATTATGTTCAAAAAACATTTGCGCATACAACAGTTAAAGTACGTGACAACATTGTTTCACTCGATATAAATACATATTTATGTTCTTCTATTTTAGGTTAAAGTTATCAAAGATAAAAAAGAATTTGAAAAGGAGTTTCCGTGTTTTGCGGCCGTGAATCGTGCTGCCAGTGGTAAGTAATATAACATATAGAACTATTTTATGCTTGAAATAAACTTTTCTCCCAAATCTGTTTTAGTCATTGATCGTCACAATGGACGTATAATTATTCTTGAATATACCGGGGAAGGTACTGTTGATTCAACTGTTTTGTTAGTTGGAAAGGTAAATATAGTTTGAGTGGTCAGAGACTGTATTTAGCAAAGTTCTAATCTTCCAGGGTATTACATATGATACAGGTGGTCTTGATATTAAAGCGGGTGGTATTATGGTACGCATGTTGACGAAAATTTTTTATTTTTATACATCCTTATTTTCTAATATCAGGCTGGAATGTCTTACGATAAATGTGGTGCAGCAGCCGTTGCTGGCTTTTTCAAAGTTTTAGCTGAATTAAACCCAAAAGGTTTTAAAGCCATCGGTGTGTTAGCTGTTGCAAGAAACAGCTGTGGTGAAGGTAAGATAACAGCAGATCAAGCCGAATGTAGAATCCCAGTGATAAACTTATTCGAATCTTATTATGATCTTAGTAAAATTTCGCTTACATTTGTCTAAGGTCGTAGATAAATCTTACTAAGATCGTGAGACCCGAAAATTTTAAGATTTGATAAAATTTTGCTAACGAGGGAACCGCCCCAGGTGCCCAACTCCGATTTCCTTCATTCATACCTCGTTTTATAGCACATCGAGCTGGTAAAAAGCCTAAAAGGATATCGGCTGACGACTCTTTAAGACCCGGTTCTCTGGAAAACCAGTTTTTCAGAAACTCTAACAGAATAACCAAAACCTTTGTTAATGAGACATGATTGTAGCCCGCGAAATTCTCATAAAAATGAGACATCTCCCAGCACTACATGACCTTTCTTTGCAAAGTTATAGAATTTACAAGAACAGCCCTAAATTAATTTCTTCTGATTTCTGCAGCTTTGAGTTGACACTGAACATTCAGGGCTTTTCTTGTAAATTCTATAACTTTGCAAAGAAAGATCATGTAGAGCTGGGAGAT